GCCGTCATACGATGCTGCAACGACGCTAAGTTCCTTCATGACTTATACGTCATATTTACAGTTGCAGCCCAGTTATGCATAAATGCGTTGACGAAATTATCATCGTGCTTAAATGAGAGTTTCAGCTGAAACTCCTAATTGATAGTTTGAACAACCATGACGTTTGTGTTAGGAGTCTTCCTAACGAGCTGCCCTGGTGAGCCAGGACAGGGATGAACCAGATGGCCAATCAAGCCGCTAGTCGCACAAGCACACAAGCTGATGGGTTCGATTAATAACATTCCTTGTTTAAAGGCCCGTTCAAGGGACACAAGAAAGAAATTCCTGCCCTTGCGACCTTGTTCGTTGTCCTCCTTGTTGGATTGAAACAAAGCGTCTAGGGCAGTACAAAATCCAGCCTTTCGTAACATTACAACAATTGGCGGCGCAGGACTCACTAAGTCTATCTCCGCGGAATAATTGCTGGCTATCATGCGGCACCAACAAGCTCAGTTTGAGGCGGCTCACCTGAAAATGGCGGAATCAATTACGCAGAAGTTCAGTCTGCATTCTCCTGATCCAGAATCCTCTGGGAAACAGTCCACGTCAGCGGTCGCAGCTGCTGCCTCCATCACCAATTTTAATTACGACCCCGACTCCGGCGTGATGTTTGACGTTTGCTTTGAATGTTAGGAAGACATTCCGTGTGGAATTTGCTGATGATGCTTGGAAGGCGCACCTTTTAGTACGCAAATTTGGAACCAAAGAGCACGAGCGGTTCACGGAAATACTTCTGCCGAAAAACACTCGTGACTTAACCTTCGATGAAACTGTAGCGGTCCTACAGCCCACCTCCTTCAAACTCGAAACGCCACTGACGTGTTCTCCAAGGGTAAATCTTGGTTGCCCAGTCGCGCCTTTTCCAGCGCGATGGCTGATGTCCGCACTAACGTGTGACCTTTAGCCTCGCATGTCGGGGCGCATAGAGGCGCCCCAAACTGGTTGACATATCAGCGTCCCGAAGAGCTCGTGGCCAATCAGGTCTGGCCAAGCGCTCTCCAGTCCTCTACTCAATTCATGCAGCGACGGCCACTTGGGAATCCGCCTTCACGTGGCGCGGTCGCGCCGATGCCGCCCTGTCCCACGGGCCTCACGGTCGGACGCCCTGCAAGACCTATTGGCCACTTTCTCCTAACTGTTGTGTACACAATACATTCTTCCTTCTACTCTGGCCTTTCCCAAGACTTCTCCTATCTCCTAAGGAACCGGGCCAGGAAGATTATAGATGTAAGGGTTAACCGTCTTAGCCTTAACTCCTATAAAACCGCCAAGTAACTGTCAGAGACCTTCGGTGAGAAATCTTCACTATTTAATGTACGATACCAGTGTATCAAGTTGGTGGAGA